AGAGCAGAGAGAGAGAAAGAAAGAGAGAGAGAGAGAGAGCAGGGAGTGTGAGTAAGAGGAGAGAGAGAGAGAAAGAGAGCAGAGAGAGAGAAAGAAAGAGAGAGGGCAGGGAGAGAGAGAGGAGAGAAAGTGTGAGTAAGAGGAGAGAGAGAGAGAGAGAAAGAGAGAGCAGAGAGAGAGAAAGGAGAGAGTAAAAGAGAGGAGAGTGAGAAAGAGAGTGAGTGAAAGGAGAGAGAGAGAGAGAAAGGAGAGAGAAAGGAGAGAGAGAGACAGTAAGAGAGAGGAGAGTGAGAGAGAAAGAGAGTGAGTGAAAGGAGAGAGTGAGAAAGAGAGGAGAAAGAGAGAGAGACAGAAAAAGAGAGCAGAGAGAAAGAGAGAGAGAAAGAAAGAGAGAGAGAGAGAGAGCAGGGAGTGTGAGTAAGAGGAGAGAGAGAGAGAAAGAGAGCAGAGAGAGAGAAAGAAAGAGAGAGGGCAGGGAGAGAGAGAGGAGAGAAAGTGTGAGTAAGAGGAGAGAGAGAGAGAGAGAAAGAGAAAGAGAGAGCAGAGAGAGAGAAAGGAGAGAGTAAAAGAGAGGAGAGTGAGAAAGAGAGTGAGTGAAAGGAGAGAGAGAGAGAGAAAGGAGAGAGAAAGGAGAGAGAGAGACAGTAAGAGAGAGGAGAGTGAGAGAGAAAGAGAGTGAGTGAAAGGAGAGAGTGAGAAAGAGAGAGAGAAAAAGAGAGCAGAGAGAAAGAGAGAGAGAGAGAAAGAAAGAGAGAGAGAGAGAGAGAGCAGGGAGAGAGAGTGTGAGTAAGAGGAGAGAGAGAGAAAGAGAGCAGAGAGAGAGAGAGAAAGAAAGAGAGAGAGAGGCAGGGAGAGAGAGAGAGGAGAGAAAGTGTGAGTAAGAGGAGAGAGAGAGAGATGGAGAGGGAAGACTCCCACTTACTTTCTGGTTTTGAATCCACAGCCGCATGACGCATATCCTTGAGCTGGAGCTGAACTCGGTGCAGTCGCTGCTCTGCGTGAAAAAGCTAAAAAGGGGGGGGGGACAAGCACAGAGGGGAGGGGGTGTTATTCCTCCCTCCCGATCCTTTGGAAAGAAGAGAGCTTGGTGCCAAAGCAAGAGGAAACCTCTGTGAAAGAACTGCTAAATAGATGGAGGAGGCAGACAAAGGGCTCTCTGTACCCTCCCAGGAATCGGGGGGGGGGGGGGCATTGAAATGGCAGGGCTGGCAAGACAAACTGTCCACCGGTTGTGCCAACTCTGCACAGCAGCTTTTCTTTTTTGTCTCCTCTTCAAAGGGACCTGGTTAACGTTGGGTTGGCGAAGCACCAGTGGAGGAAATCTTCCGAGAGAGGCCAAGTGATTAGTCTGCCATCTCACAGGCTGGCAAGGAAGGGCCCTCCTGCTCCCCAAGGCCTGGGAGGGGGAGGCAGGGGGGGGGGAGATAAGGGGAATAGCAAGAGCCCTTAGACTTATATACCGCTTCCTTCCTTCCTTCCTTCCTTCCCTTAGCCCTTAGACTTATATACCGCTTCACAGTCCCTCCCTCCTTCCTTCTTTCCTTCCCACTTAGCCCTTAGACTTATATACCGCTTCACAGTCCCTCCTTCCTTCCTTCCTTCCTTCCTTCCTTCCTTCTTTCCTTCCCACTTAGCCCTTAGACTTATATACCGCTTCACAGTCCGTCCTTCCTTCCTTCCTTCCTTCCTTCCTTCCTTCCTTCCTTCCCACTTAGCACTTAGACTTATATACCACTTCACAGTCCTTCCTTCCTTCCTTCCTTCCTTCCTTCCTTCCTTCCTTCCTTCCCACTTAGCACTTAGACTTATATACCACTTCACAGTCCTTCCTTCCTTCCTTCCTTCCT